ATCATGAACTGTCCTGCATGTGCCAAGCGGGGCTCCCTCACTGCCACTGGACCCTGCTGCCACCTGTTGAACTCCCTTTGAGTTTCAACCCTTAGGTTTAAAAGTCACAAAGCTGCTACTTTGGTCCAGATCTTTCTCCTTGGCAAGAGAGATGCTCGATGCAAAAATGAGAACCTAGCAAACAGATGGAAAGGCCACATTTACAGAGTGCCTCTGACTATGGAAGCTCAGTGCATATCCTGCTCTGCTTGTGAGTCTCCCGCAGTGACTGGGAATTTACTGTTGGAGAGAGCAGAGGCTAAACAGACTTTAGCCCTTCCTACTGCCTGGCACAGAAAAACGAACAAGGGGAATTTGTTACTAACCAAATAGAAACTGATAGATCAATATCTGGAAGCTGAACAGCTTCATAGCTGGGCTTTCATTTTATAAAACTGGCCTCATTATTCACTTCCATGGGAAGTGTGCGCAGGCCAGAGTTCCAACTACCGAAAGAGCCACCTTGCTGGGTGCAGGGCTGTCTTGTGCCAAGAGCTGTGAGACTCTTTTCCCAGGCAAGCATTTACATCTGGCCACCTAGAAGCCCACCTGGCTTCGCTTGTGACTGCACGGAAAAGCACCTTCAAAAAAACCCAAACTCCCTAAAATTTATCTTCTCCCAGATAAATCTTAGAAACTGTCACTGTCATTTGTTTCTACTGCTCTTCCTCCCAAGGACCACAAAGGAATCCCAAGGAGGGGGGCTTTTAACATTTAAAAAAGGATCCACAAGGATCTCCAATCCAACAGGACTGGAAGAGAAGCTCTGTGGGCGAGCACGACTTGAACAAGGCCTTCCGGCTTCAGCTTCAAACGTGTTTCCACCCGCCCATTGGCAGCAGAGTTTCTCACGCAGCAGCTTTTCAGCTGCAAAAGATGCAAAGTGGAGGGTGAGGTGGATCTGTGTTGGGAGCCCAAGATTTCCACCTTTCCTTGCAGGATGTGGGCTTCTGCTGCCCATCACAGGGAGAGCCTGGAAAAGCAGAGCCTCTTGGCTCGTGACTTTCACCTGGCCCATCTGTGTCTCATTGTGGGGCCGGCTGCTGCCCCAAACCACTCCCACCATTTGGCCAGCTGATCCAGGCCTTTCTCTCTGGGGGATCTGAGTGCTGCCCTCCAAAACCCAAATCCTGGAGCAAGATGCAGGGGAGCCTGAGAAGACAGGTGTTGTGGCATCTGCGATACGCAGAGCAGGGCTTTCCAACTCTCGGGTGCATCTGGAGCCTTGAGAAAGCAGGATGAGCGCCCCAGAGCAGAGGCTGAGGCGAATGCCGTCAGTCGCACCCAAGTCACTTGCATGAGAGGCCGAAAGCGAGAGGCCAAAGTGAAGTCCAAATCCCAGACCATCAGCCTACAACAGAATTTAATCTGGGTAACACTGAGAGAAGCAGACTGCATTCACACATCTCCCCCAATCCCCCGCTTAGATCCTCACCCATCTAGAGTGCCAAAGATTCACTACAACTCAACCACCCCAATCCTATGCAAGAAACCTAGTCTTGGTATTGTTACTTGTCCCTCCAACCACTGCTTTGAATCGACCAAAAATAAAGGGTGAGATTAAAATTTAATAAATAAATCCATTTTG